CTCTTTCCTTAGGCTGGCAATCATAAGCAACTACTTGGAAGCCAAGTTCCTGGCATCCATGAGCATCATGTGGATGCAGAGGCAGTGAGCCATACGTAACTGATAATTCAGTGGTGGCCATGCTGGTAAGGGTCTTAATAACTCAGCAGAATACAGGCAGAATTTTTCAATGACTTGCCTGTGTGCTTCAGGCTTTGTGTTTTGTTTCTGTAACTTGAACCATTATTCCCTCATGCTATGGGCAGAATCTACATCACTGAGCTGCTGTATCACTTCTTGTTTTGTTTCTTCATTGCTTCTCTAGTGGAGCTTCCCAAAGCCTGGGATGATGTAGCACATGACAATCGATGTTCACAGGTAGTCCTGGGCTGAGGGAGCAAAGCTTGCATGGATTTGCTTGCCAGAAAGAACTAGGAGAATCATGGAAGCAGTAGTTAAGGCAAAATTTAACATCATGGACAGGTAGGCCGTTGGTCTGGATTGAGACAGGGAACAGCATGATTAGAAGATTGGAAATAAAAAATAGGAATGAAAAAAAGGGGTGAACAGCAACTACAAATGGAGCCCCACAAGAAGCTTTGCTACATCTGTTCATCTCTTTCATAAATGCTCCACAAAATGGGAAGAGGGGTGAGGTAAAAGAGTTTTCTGTTGATGCTAAGTCATTCAAGGGGAGGAGAAGTAATTGCAGAAAGTTCTTTCTGGTGAAATGGGAGAATAAAAATCACTTCAAAGCAGAAAACAATTATATTTTTTAATGAACAGTGTAGGGCTCTAAACTAGATCTTACTGTGAGACTACTGAACTTACTGTAGGTTCTTCCATGAAAACATCAGTTCAATTCTCAGTAGTCATAAAAAAGGCAAATAAGATTACAGGGATTATTAGGAAAGGAATGGAGGAAAAAACAACACAAAAACTTAATAAGCCATTATTTAAATCCTTGGTTCATCTTTAGGTGTTGGCATCTGTGAAAGACTGCAGAATAGCTAGAAAATATTTTAGACCTGGGCCACAGTGCTTCTGGAAGGCATGAAACAGCCTGTTTAGAAGGAAAGAATAACTAACCTGATGTTCTTCAGGTATGATAAAATCATGACAGGTACAGGGAAGTTGACCTCAGAACGATAATTCACTCTCTGTCATGATACAGTGAGAGGCAGTAGCCCCAGTGTAATCTCTCAGATTGCAATGATCCCCTTAATGATCCCCCTAATCTTGTCTTCCCTCGTGATCTGTGTCTCCCCCAGACCTCCATTCACTCTGTTTCTTCTCTTCTTTTTAACCAGGTCCTGGAGACTTCATGGAAGACTCCATGCACTCCAGTTTAGCAAGTCTGGAAGCCCAGCAGATGATGACAAATGCACAGCCTCTGTGTATATCTGACAACATAAATAAAATGAATCTTTCTCTTTAGTATAACTTTGCTTCCTCAAGGTGCAGGAATAACCATGCTATAACTCATCAGAACACCAGGAATTAACCCCTCACCCCCAAAATACAGTGGTATAACTGGTATAAAAACTGTAGATTAAAGGGAACGGAGAGAGAATCCAACCTCAGACAGCAACACAGCTATGGTAAAAAGTAATCAAGGAAATTCTGCTAATATCAGCCATACAACACAACAACAACAGAAAACATATCCGATCATTTCTCTAAAGCAGATCTAATAGAAGGTGCCAGGAATCCAGAAAGATCTCTTCCACATTAAGAATAAACTCAGAAAAACAATTTGACATCTTGCTTACAGAAAGACTCGCACTCCATTACAGGCTATTTAATTCAGTAAAGGAATTGCTAAACGCAATTACCCAGCCTGTGTTTTGCAGCAGGTCAGACCATTATGATGATTATAAATAATTATAATAGCTTATTTTGATAAGAAAGGTCTCTTAGAGCTCAGAATCATTGAGATTGAATGCTACTTTATAACAGAAGAAAATTCTCTAAAATAGAAAAAGACTTAAGAGAAGTGACTCGCATACGGATACAGAAAGCAGGATCAGTATCTTAAGTACAAAGGACACCTTAGAAAGGCAGACATAGGCTACAAAAGTTGTTCTGAGTTGGTTTGTTGTTTGTTGATTTTTCTTCTACAGAAAGCCATTTTCAAACGAAAGAGAAGTTGTTAACCAGAAGTTTTGGCACTTTAGGCTAGTCTGCATTTTGCTGTTGTCTACAAAGAGCAAAAAAGCAACCCAAGCTTAGCAGTCCTTTCCAAAAGGCATCCGTTACTTTTCTGTGCATTACCACTGCTAAATCAGCAGGTCTTGTCTGCCATTTCAGCTGTTTGCATTATAGTGATTTGAAATTGTCAGAGAAAATATTCAGGAAATGCTGGAATAATTAAAAATAAATTCACAACTAATTCAGTATCTCTGAAGCAAATTAAATTTAAGAGATGAACACATTTTGCAGTAAATGTAAAAGGCAAACTTCAGGCTTTCATCTCTCAACAACTAGTAGTTTTATTTCCTCATGCATTTGGCATTATAAATAAAAAAGTTCTTATGACTGAGAATTTTAAGAGGAAAAAAACCCCAGAAATTAACTACAAAATGTGACACTACTGCTGCAGTTTTTAGTAAGCACTGTTGTGAAATAACTTTCTAGCAATAATAATTTTGGTGATGTGAACAGTCGCTAAAAGTAGTGGTCAGTAACAGAGATGAGCTCATGGCCGATATCCAGCATGTAAAAAGACATGAACTATCTTTACTGTGTATAAATATCTGATGGGAAGCAGTGAAGAAGAAGGACCCAGACTCTTCTCAGTAGTGCCCAACAAAAGTACAAGAAGCAGTGGGCAGAAACTGAAATGCGGGCAATTCCATTTGAACATTAAAAAAAATAATTCACATTAAAAAAAAAAATTATCTTTAATTAAACGGGTGTTTGTCATTTAACAGAGGGGTTGATTAGTAACACCTATCAATTTAACCATAGAAAGCATATTAAGAATATATAGGTGAATTAGGCAGCTAAGAGAATATAGGTTTTTCAGAGATATTGGTACCTAATATTCAAGCTTAATGCTCAATCAATGCAAAAATGGAAATGCATTTTAACTTCTATTTCTTCAATATGATTTTCTCCCATTTGGAGATTCACAAGTGGAAAAATAAACCAGAAGATGTAATTCTGGATTAATTTCCTACTAGCACATTACACCTTGAAGCTAGAATTGAGTCCTGCTGGACTGAATGTTTTTCAGCTGAGACAGTTACATGTCGTATACACTGGTTGCCAGTTTAGGCGGTTTATCTCAGATTTTAAAAACAACAGGAATCTGTAAAATACATGGAAAAATATAATTAATCTGCTAAAGAAAAGGTAATCTAGAAATTATAACTTTAGATGTAACTTTTCAGTCAGCTCTCCTACATACCCATTCCCGTTAATGGCACTGTAGAGCAAGGCTGGAGAGACTGGAAACGAAATCCAGGCCTTCCAGTCTTTGTACATCAGCTTTAAGGAGTCTGAACCTGTTATTAGGAACCTCTTAGTGCTCTGCCTATTTAACTAGAAGAGATTTTAAATGGGAAATTTGTTTTCAACTGAATTATAGCAGGGCTTAATTCATAATATTAATTTACATTTTTTGCCATACATAAGCTGTATACGGAGGTTAAAAGCCCATGACTTCATGGAAACACCAGAGAGGGTGATGTTTATGTATTCAAAAAGTAGAACTCAAAAGAAAGAGTTTCTTTTAAACAATCAAGATCGTTGTGTTTTACACTAATGCGTAACTAATGTGCTGCAGTTCTTCAGTTCATCAAGTGTGTATTCAAGTCATATACAAGTCTCTGCACTGAGGAAATGTGTACGCTTCCGCTTATATTAACAGACAATTCTAATATCATACTTTCATACGGTTTGATCCAAGAACACTGAAATCAGTGAGTCTTTCTGTTGACTTACCGGGGTTTGGATCAGACACATACAGCACTTTCGTATGAAGTTAGCCCTTCACCAAATGAGAAAAATGTGACTGCTCTGGTTTTTCTGAGCATACCCAGTCTGCTTCGAAAAATGTGAAGATAAGAATAATTTTCATGTAAGGCATGCAAAATCTTCCATATGTTTTTATCTTCTGTGCCCTTTTATTCAGCTGCTCTTACCATTTTATATTTGTTGGGTGAGAGATGGATTTATCACTCTCATCACTCACAAATTGTGATTTGTTGGCCAGACTGCCTCTGAGAAATACTGCAGGGATGCGAGTAGAAACAATCTTGCAAGGGGTTAATGCTGTAATCTTTTTCTAGCCTGTTTATAATCCCAACAGTAGGCCAGTAACAGAAGAGGGTGGATCTAAAAGAGTACCGGAGGGGACGTGTGTGTGTGTGGATGGGCTTGCATACGTGTGAGTGTGGATGTGCACGCACGCTTTGCTTCCCTGGACTGCCCTGTGTGCCACGGGAACAAACCTTCTCCAGCCTGAACAGGACTCTGCCGGCTGTTCCTGACGGAGAGTTAGAAGAGGTTCCTTGCACAACTGCCTCTCTGGTATTTCTCCTGAAGATTTTATTCAGAAATGTATTTGTTTACTGAAGGAATGGGCAGATAGTCACAAACCCACCCTCTCCTTCATCAAAGCTAACCTGTGGGTACTGAAGAATGGAAATAGCTGATGCTAGCTTCCTCGGAAACGGTACCAATATTACTGCTTTCCTGTGTGATATCATCTTGGAAAATGACACTTTTTTCTGTGTGGATGATCCACCTTATCCTTCTAAAGGTATGTATAGAAAAATAGATTTTTTTCAGGCAGTTTTAGTTCTAGCTGGAAGTAGAGATACTATGGAAAGAAACAGCTGCACAAGGCTTTTTCTGTGAGGGAGTGCAAAATCAACTGCTTGCTGTAAGTTAGGATGAGAAAGAGGCAGAAAAAAAATCAGTATGTGCTGGTTAGCCAAGTTAAAATTTCAACTAGAACAAAATTTGGATATAATGGTAAACTAAACTGATAGCACTACTGGGCACAAAATGTAAACAGCTCTGCTAAGGACTTGGAGAAACATGATTTTTGCTCTTCGAGCAATTCAGTAACAATGGAGTTATCTGATCTGATACTGTGTATGAGAGTGATTAAATATGAAATTATAGCACTCTGAGGCTGAAAAAATAATTCATGTATTAAAATATTTTTGATTGCTGTATGGTTTCTTATTTCAGCATAAAAGAAGAACTCCTGTGGTGAGTCAGTGGTGCACACTAAGTAGCATGAGCAGAACGTGCTCTTAAGAAGTTGCATTTGGCTCTCCAAATGGACATTGTATCGCATTTATTGTATTTTAATATTATGCAGTTCACTTAGATCAGAATAAGTTTAAGAATTTCAGAACTTCCACTGATTTTGTATTGGTGTAAAGACATAAACCTCAGTAAAACTGAATACAGAAAGGTTTTGGAAAGGCTTTACATTTTGATTAAAGGATGAAACATACTAGTCTATGAGCTGTATATTCCATAACTGTTTTTTTCCTTGTGACAATTTTCAGATTTGCATCAGATAATTCGGATTCTACTGTACTGTTTGATATTTCTGCTCAGCGTTTTGGGGAACATTCTGGTAATTACAGTGCTGATAAGAAACAAGCATATGAGAACAGTCACCAATACCTTTCTGCTGTCACTAGCAGTCAGCGACCTGATGCTCTGCCTTTTCTGCATGCCATTCACCCTCATTCCCAACCTGCTGAAAGATTTTATTTTTGGTAGCGCTGTTTGCAAAACTGCCACTTATTTCATGGGTAAGTCCTGAAAGTTTATACTTATTTTGAAGACTGACTGATGAGATAGGGGAGAAGGTTATTAAAGATCAGTAAAAAACTGTTTCCACCTGCCATTGAACAGTTACCAAAATTAGGAAGAAACAACTTTGTACCGCAGATCTTCATGGTTCTGGTTTCCTCAGTCTGATCCAGCCAAACACAGAGGCACCACCTAATTTTAATGACCCGCAGAAGTGTTTTGCTGGATCAGGTTAAGTGAGAAGAACGTGGCATGGCCAAGCTTTAATGAGGAACTCGGCACGTGTGCTTGCTTACCCATCACTGACAGAGTTACCAGCAGCGCTCAGATCACCCCTCAGAAATTACAGGGTTGTACAGTCCTCTCTAAGGGTGGGTTTTGCTCACAGATTTTTGGTAGCAGTGATACATGAAAAAAATAGGCCAAAGTGTAATCTGAGGAACTGTATGCTAGGGCAAGCACTTTTTTGAGACCAGACCTGGTGCGACCACAGCTCACCAGAAACTACAAAATACACATACAGGTTTTAGAGGCTGACTTTAAGAAACACCACTTTTATATGCCCTGCCGTACCCCCTGGGTTGTGGAGCTGAGAGCCAGGAGTTTCAAAATGCCTGCATTAGGTATGTCTGTGCAACCAATTTTGTCTCACTTCCAATACTTTCTGTGCATTTGCTTGTTTCTTGAAAAAAAAAGAAAGGAGAACATTATGCAAAATTTTTGCTACCTTGAGAGGCCCTCTGTTAACGACAGAAACTGTAGGTCCCCTTTCAACCCGTGCCCTTGAGAGCTTTGATGTAATGTGAAAGTACACACCTAAAGCGTGCGAATGGGAAATCAACATCTTTTTGTAGATAAAACCAATGAAACTAAAGGCCATGTTTAAACAGAAATAATGAATTGCTGCCATAAATACCATAAAAAAATTACTGAAGCATTGTCATTTTTCTTATTTCACACTGTATAAATTACTTTATTAAAAAAATCCAGTGAAATATTTTGGAACATGAAGTTTTTCATTATGAAGGTGTTTTATTTTAAGAATCAAAATGTGGATATTTCCCATTAGCAATTCAGGTTCATAGAGCCTTCTATTGACAAATAGACACTGACATCTATTGTATCACCCGCGGTCTTAACCTCTCATCTTAAGATGTAGGAAGACTTATTTTAAATTACAGATAATTTGTGTAAAGCAAGCTGTAAAGATATTGGCATCTTATATTTTGACCCACATTAAAAAATTCATAAAGACTATTAAGTGAAAGAAAACTTCATTATAACGTTAAGAAGAAATATTTATAATCCTGAAATGATAAACTGGGGCACCTCAGTGACAGAATTACAGAACACTGAGTTATATTTTATAATATATGAACAGGAGAAATTAAGCGCACTTGAAGGATGAAGATTCTGTTTCATTACTTAATTTCTCCTGCTTTGTAACTCCATTAGCATCTAATTTTAAAAGTGATAACACAATTAATTCTCTTGAATGAGAAAATCAGATTGCCAGTCAAGCAGGGCACTTATAAAAATTAAAACAATAGAAGAGGGACTGTGAACTTCTGTGTTAAAAGTGTAATTAGCAGCGTAATCCCACCAATTTCAAATACTTGTTTGAATTTCCGTGCAATTACTCAAGGGTGTAAACCACAGTAGCAAAGAGAAGAATTGGGCGGAGAAGTATCTTCTTTCCCTGTTATCAGAATTTTGTGGTTTGACAGAAAGAATCTCTTCTCTTGGATTTCTGGAGCTGGAAAAGCACAAAGCACCAACATCAGTCTGGAGACTTAGACCTGTTGCCCACACACTCTTTGCTGACTTAATCAGTATGATATTTAGCTTATAAATAGTTTGCTATATTTTTACGTTTATATACACGTACAGAAAGTTAGCAAGACTGTTTGAAAAATACAAACATTTTAAGCAAGAGAATAACCTTTTTCTTTATTTTATATATATAGGTGTCTCTGTAAGTGTATCTACATTCAACCTGGTTGCCATATCTCTGGAGAGATACAGTGCTATTTGCAAACCTCTGCAGTCCAGGGTCTGGCAGACAAAATCTCATGCCTTGAAAGTGATTGCTGCTACCTGGTGTGTTTCCTTTACTATCATGTCACCATACCCAATCTACAGCAAACTGGTACCTTTTACCAAGTATAACAACACCACTGCAAACATGTGTCGGCTCCTTTGGCCAAGTGATGTCATTCAGCAGTCTTGGTAAGACATAACTGACTGTTAGCAAATGCATAATTATCTGGTGGAAAATAGGATTTCATGGTAGCATTAAGCCTATTGAAAATCAAGTATTAACCTTCAGCAAACATTTACACTTCTATCATGCTTATTTGAGAAGTAAAAAAAAAAAAAATTTAAGTTGCTTACATTTTGACACTTGTATGACTTTTCCCTTGTCAGAGGAATGATACTCAACATGGAAATGATTCTCACACTATGGTCTGCTAAGCCCCTACTGCCGCTGTAAAGAAAGCATCTGTCACTATTCAAGGAGGAATACTGCTTTCACTCATTTATATGTAAACTTAAATATTTTCAGAGAAAACCTTGATTAATCTTTGAAAAACCTGGACACATGCAAGTGTAAATCTGTGTGCAGAATATGAAAACTTGCAGAGATTGCAGATGCCCTTCCTGAGAACTGAACCCTTTTGGTGGTCATTTACAGAGAATAGGGGCAGAGAAATGAGGGGAGAGACAGAGCTCCAAGTCCTACCTGTCCAGGCAGAGTAAGTAAATAGTAGTGCTATCAAGCAGCAATATTATTTAGACATTGTGTCCTTGCACAATGACTGACCACTGAGAAGATGTAAGAATTTTTTGGCTACTGAAGGTCAGTTGGAACTGGGAATAAGATCAAAGTATGCACCAGTATGGTGTATCCACAAATACAGTGAATTTGTATCCATGCTTTCGGTAGTCTCGGGTATTTGCCTTTGCAGTACAAGTACAGATGAGGAGGGAGGTGGCAGGGTGAAATTCTCTTCTCCGTGGTATCGTCGCAGATTCCCAGGTGTGTTAGTGAGTTTGCACCGAAGTCCCAGGGAGCAGCAGGGATGTAGGCTCGTGAATGCCTTTAGACAGAAAGATTTCCCCAACTTTTAATCCCATTAGGGAAGCTGCCTAGGAGAGTAGCACATGTGCCACCAAGTAAAAGATGCATCCTTTAGTGAAAGAGTTGCTGGCCCTGGGATGCCTCCCCAGGGCCTCTGCATGTCCCCAGGGATGACAGCCCAGGTCGTGGCCACTCCGTCCCTGACCGTTAGTGCCACAACCCTTGGCGAGTCAGTTCTCACTGAAGGAGTGACTGCCAGTACCAGGGGCTCCTTTGAGAAACAGCAGCTGCTCATTTGGCTTCTTCAAGGCAATTTTTGCATCATTCAAAGCTACAGGGCATCCAATACTTATCTAGTTACACCAAAGAGCTGCACTTCATGGGCAGAGAGACCTTCTGCCCCTCTCACAGGAGTACCCACCTCCTCTGGGCCTGCGGAGGTTGGGTAACGGATGTTTTGCAGCCGCATTAGCCTTGCTGCTGCTGTACTTTTCTGGGTGAAGAAGGAGGAGAAGAGATGCAAAGCTTCTAGTTTCCAGAGCTGTCAAAATGATGCTTCATATCAGCATAAAAAAATTTCAGCAAAATCTTGAAACCCTCCCTCCCCACATCCCTCAAATTCTCATCTGGAGAAAAAGGAGTTTTTCTGTGTTTGTGCTGTTCCCTTGTCACAGTTTGTCTTTTGATTCTTTAGGTACACTTTCTTGCTACTCATACTCTTTCTTATACCTGGGATTATAATGATGATTGCATATGGCCTCATTTCCTTGGAACTCTACAGAGGAATAAAATTTGACGCCAGCCACAGAAAATCTTCACGAGGTAACAAGACATTTACTTTTGGTTTTTAAATTAGAGTTGAAGATCATAAAATCATAGAATGGTTTGGGTTGGAAGGGACCTTAAAGACCATCTAGTTCCAGCCCCCTGCCATGGGCAGGGACACCCTCCACTAGCCCAGGTTGCTCAAAGCCTCATCCAGCCTGGCCTTGAACACCTCCAGGGATGGGGCATCCACAACTTCTCTGGGCAACCTGTGCCAGTGCCTCACCACCCTCACAGGAAAAAATTTAGTCCTAATATCTAATCTAAATCTACGCACTTTCAGCTTAAAACCTCTACCCCTCATCCTATCACTACACTCCTTGATCAAGAGTGTTTCCCCATCTCTCCTGTAGCCCCCTTTAGGCACGCTAAGGCCGCTATAAGGTCCCCCTGAAGCCTTCTCTTCTCCAGGCTGAACAACCCCAGCTCTCTCAGCCTGTCCTCATAGGGGAGGTGCTCCACTCTCTGACCATCTTTGTGGCCCTCTTCTGGATGCACTCTAACAGGTCCGTGTCTTTCCTGTGCTGAGGACTCCAGAGCTGGAATCAGATACGAGCAGTCATCTTGAGGCTACTAAAAGCAAAATTTTCTATTTGCAAAAACAATCACTGTAGTCAGTTATGGTCGTGAACCTGACAGGTCCATTTGTTGATTGAAGTGACTCCATTATTCATGAGCAAAGAATTCCTCACCTACGGCTTGTTTGCAAAGACTCTGGGCAGGTTATGTTAAATTTCTAATTTGCTTATTACAGAAATATCAAAATTTTTTTTTGCCTATAGGTGAGGACCATTTCTGTAAATAAACACCACAATTTTGAAAATTACCTTCAGTAAATACTTGAGCAAACCGTGTTCTTACATCTTTTGCATCAATTTATATAGAGTTGAGATGTGAGAATATTGGGAGAGAGCAGATGCAGAGCAGCTGATACACAACTAACTCAATTAGGACAACGTTTTCTTTGCAGCAGTTGTTCAGCCAAGAACTTTGTTATTTATTTAGACTTAGACTCCTTACTTTGTTTTGTATTTTAACTCACTGTTCAGAGATATTTTGCCAACTATTTAAGTACTAATTTATACGCACAGAAAGAAAAATAAGTACCTGCAGCACCAAGTATGAGGATGGAGATGGATGCTACCTCAACAAAAACAAAAGAAAAAGGAAAATGCCATTGCAACAGCTCTCTGCTACCAGCCATAGCAAAATAAACAGGGTGAGAAGCAGCAGCTCTTCTGCCAACTTAATGGCCAAGAAACTCGTCATCCGCATGTTGATGGTGATAGTGATTTTGTTTTTCCTTTGCTGGACTCCCATCTTCAGTGTCAATGCCTGGCGTGCATTTGACACCACTTCGGCAGACCAGCGTCTCTCGGGAGCTCCCATCTCCTTTATCCACTTGTTGTCCTACACTTCTGCCTGCGTGAACCCTATCATATACTGTTTTATGAACAAACGTTTCCGCATGGGTTTTCTAGCCACTTTTGCCTGCTGTGCTAAGCAAAAGCCCCCTGCAATACGGGGAGAGGTTGGTGATGAAGAGGAGGGGAAGACCACAGGGGCTTCACTCTCCAAATGTTCTTACACGCACATGAATGCATCTGCACCCCCCTGAGCTGTGCCAGAAGAGGCGATGAATGGCCTACAGAAATCCAAATATTTATCATTTGGTCTCAGAAAGTGACTGTGGCACCAGCTGAACACGATTTACTTCTGAGATATTGAAACACTTCAGCTGACAGTAAACGCAGTCTGAATTGTATGGGAAATGGATGCTCGCACTATCCGAGCTTTATATCACTTTCCCTTGAAAAGTACAAAGGAGAAAGAGGGCTCTTTGAAGATAATGGACTTTATAAAAAGCTTTAAAAGATGCTCTCTTTGTCACAAATTCTCCTGTAAAAATTGGTGTCCTTTACATCAACAGTTTAGCTCAGATTTCAGCTGCAGTTCTCAGTATCTCTTAAAATTTCCAAGACACTAATAGACTTTCCTCAAACATGAATACTTGTATTGCAGTCTTCACTTTAATATCTATGCCTCATAATCAAAAATTTTCAGTTACATTCGTAGTATTTTTTCACATTATTTTTGCTGAGCTAATACATGTTGAGATCATTTTGGTGTCATGCTCAATTAAAAAATAATTTTGGGGTGGGGAGAATGGTCGTGTCTGTGTCAAAATAATGCTTTTAAGTAAAATATTTTCTTTTTATTTTTTTAACAAAATTAAAATAAATATTGGCAACTTAGTGGATGGAACACATTCTTCATTTAGGCAATAACATAAGTTAACATAATTTCATGTGCTTCTGGCTTAAATAAAACCCATAGAACAAGCACAAAGAAGTGGCTTTCTTCTGTGCAGGTGCAAGCACCCATGAGTGCAAGTGGCAGGGTCTTCGGTGAGCCCCAAAATCTCACGTGGAAATTGTCACACTGGGAAGCACAGGGATAAATGCTTGGGATAAAGGCAAAGAGGTGATTTTGCAAAAGACAGAGGCATGTGCTTCTGGCTTAAATAAAACCCATAGAACAAGCACAAAGAAGTGGCTTTCTTCTGTGCAGGTGCAAGCACCCATGAGTGCAAGTGGCAGGGTCTTCGGTGAGCCCCAAAATCTCACGTGGAAATTGTCACACTGGGAAGCACAGGGATAAATGCTTGGGATAAAGGCAAAGAGGTGATTTTACAAAAGACAGAGGACTGAATCATAAAGGTTGGAAAAGACCTCAAGGACATAGGACGATGGCCACGGTAGTAATACATTTCACAAATATATTCACAGTCACTCCCAGTGTGGCACTGCCTACATGAAAATAGAAGCCATTGGATGTAGAAGGGCAGAAACAGCAGACAAAATGAGCAAATGGTGAAAGAATTTGCCAGAAAACATAGTTTTTCTAGACTTTGGAACAATTATTTTCTCTAGATACAGGTATTTGTAAACAGACTCAGCACAGAAGAAAAACCTTTGGATGATGTAACTACTGGTGGTTTATTGAGCAAGGAATTCAGGCTCTTTCCTGTGCAGTGCACGGGTGAGTGTGGATGTTCAGGTTGTGCTCTTTGCTCTCTGGAGCTCGGCAGGAGAAGTTATATAAGTTATTTTGTTTTGTGAAAATATCCTGTTGGAGATGCTTCTATCTTCTAGCTGAGCCAATATAATTTAAAAACTTGTTATTAGACAGAGATTAAATTTGAGCACAGCATGGAATGTAGATGTGGATATTAAATATAGCCACTCTCAAGGTTTTTAATCAGGAAAATCTGATCTCTTTACAGAATGATTTTAAATTGGAAATATAGTTTAGTTCCAGGCACCCACATCCATGTTCTGCATTCAGTTATTGCCTGAAATGGTTTACCCATACAATGTAGCACATAACTTTGGCTGTTATTTTTTTTGCATCCAGCTTGTCCACAGACAGGAAATTAAAAAAAAAAAAATCTAAACACTATTTATGCACAATCCATAGAAACAATGTTTTGCCTGCCACATTAATAAAGCAGCACTGTTCCTCATAAAGTAGCACTGTTCCTGCAACGGTGCTGAGACTACTGACATCGATCTGACCTTTTGCAAATACCCACTGAATTAAATTATGGGATTTAATTCGTAACAGTGAAATGAAAATTTTACTTCACTTAAGGATGCAGGATGAGACCCTCTTACAAACTTGGCCTATGTGTTGAACCTGAAGGAACAAACAACTACTTTTGGATATATGCAGAACAGTGAGAGCAGAAAAAATACTTGTGAAGTATTTTATACCATTTGAAAGTCTGCCTTTATTATAGGACATGGTATAAAAATTGTTGGTTTTGTAAAATAATAAATCACATTTTCATAGTACACTGGATGTGAATATTGCTGACTACGCGCTGTACAGCGAGACAGCCTCCTTCACAGCTCTGTATGCACCTTAAATGCAAATCCCTTTTTGTAGATGTAGATTCTCCAGTACCTTTAGAGCCGACATAGCAGTATGTGCACAGTTCACCTGCTCCCACTGATTTAGTCCAAGGATAGTGGCTTCAGATGAAAGGCAACCGCTATTTTCTACAATGCCATAATCAGATCACAGGCCCCCCGTGGCCTCCAGTACCTGTGTCTGAAAGGAGCAGAGTCTCTGATTGATTCTCCACTCGTGACTACCAGGGAGCACAATTTGGAGGTGATGAAGTGAGGGACGCAGGAGAAGGAGATCCTGATGGAGTGGCGGTTAGAATCAAGGAAGGGTTAGAAATGTGCCAGAACAGACACATTTCCTTTTGTCCAAGGCTTGTCTGTGCATCTGTCACTCTTCCCTTACATTGCACCCTACACACCTTTTTTCTTTTTAAACCAACACATTAACTCTTTGTCCAAGCTCCCAAAGTCACGAGCCTTAAGCGAAATTCCAGCAAGGAGTAGGAATTAAGTTTTTAAAATTCAGTATTGCAATCCAGTCATCTTGTCTTCTTCTGCCCTGGTCTCCTATCACAGGAAATTTCAGCCTTTCCGCAACCTGAATGCATCTGAATGCCATTTTCCCTGATGTGTGCATTGCAGAAGTCATTCCTGGCTCCAAATATTGCCCTTTCATTGCTAAAGAGTTGTGGAATTGTCCCAGCACCTGTAATTCAGGTACTGCTGTTAGTAGAAATGTACCGTCAACAATGAGCAGAGGTGGAATAAACATACCAAAACCAAAGAGCCCATGAAGTCTCCTTATTTTATCATTAGTTTATAGGGGCTTGGGGGAGAAATCCTATCAAAAAGGTCTATGTCTACAATGGGCAGTACCTAAAGGCAAACTGTTTCCCACATGTAGCAGACAAATGGCAAAACAATAAATTTCAGATACATAATGCCAACAGACCTCTGGAGTCTTTCTCTTCTTCCCCCTTCTTCCCTGATTCTCAGGTCTTTTTCTCCCTTTGTCTTTCTCTTATCCCTTTCAGCTGCATGTCACCATCTTTTTTCTTCTGTACCCCTCCCATTTTCTAGGTTACTTTCCCCCCACCAATTGCTAGATTTTTTTTTCCTCTTTGACAGGTTTATTTTTCTTCCCAGATTTACTTTCCCAGAAAGCACTCTCATCTTCACTTCCCCCCCATCACCTCAGGTTGACAGACTCCTGAAACACATTGCTCCAACAATCCTGCCCACAACCCAACAGTTCTGCAATCGCCTCTTACAACCTTACAACGGAGTTCACACATTGTCTCTCTTGAACGCTGGCTCCTGGCATGCTCAAACATCAGTATATACTAGTCCATAAACCAAAACCATAGCGCTAAACAACATCCAAGTCCTCTTTTGCTACTTCTGTCATTAGTACTAGCAACCTCTATTATTAGGGCACACTTTAAGACAGATGCCTAAAATACTGCTCAATACAGCACTTTGGGGCGGGGGGTGGGTGGTCAAATTAAGGATGTATTTCACAGTTGCCAAGGCAAAATACAGATGCTCTGAACGAAAAGCAGCATGTGGATTTGAACTGCAGCTACCAAAGGTTTACACCCCACCTTACACAAATCATGGCCTCTTTTACAAAGTGGTCAAGGCCTTCTTGGTGAGGTGATGAGGCTGCCTGGGGTCCTGCCTGCTCCTCCATCCCCTCCTGCTCCTCCTGCGTCCGAGCTCGGGGATGGTGCAATCTGCGTTCACACACTGTGGCTCATCACAACAGTTTCCTGGCTTGGAAGAGATTGTTTCAGGATTGGATGACACTGAAACAATACAATACACAAATATTGCAGCCAAAGCATTACAAATAGACGCACACTTGCACAGTTTCTAACAGCATTTAGGATTTCCCCTAAAAGCAGGCACTTGCTCAGACCATGCACACAACCGGACTAGGACAGAGGGCTGATCTGAGACAGCCACCTTTCACAGGACCTCACAGTCAGAGGCTGCCAGGAAAATCTTGATAAACCACCATGTAGTGCAGGGTATAACGCTGCTAGTGTTTCTGCATCAAAACTAATCTACAGGCAGATACAGTCGCACTACGCACAGAGAAGAATGGGGTAGGCATTTACTGACTGCAGTCACACCATCTTGTAATCCTATGATTGTGATGGTGAATGCAGTTTTTTTGAAAGTTTTTGTCCTCATGAAGCATTAATCTTGCAAGTATTCATTTAGGTGCTGAGACGATTTTAATAGCTACTCAGCTCCTGTATTTTCTCAGATACTCATTTTTCCATAGCTGATGGTTTTTTATACAAATCAAGATACACAAACTAGGAGTGTCTTCAGATTCCAGGACTGTACTTCCTCTTCCATGTCTCAGGACTTTGGTAAACATGCCTCTTTTTTTTCCTCGGTCTAAGATGAATGAATGTTGAGCTAAACTTAGGGTTCCTAGTGGCAAAAGATGCCTATTCTCAAGAGGAAAGTGAAGAAAGATACAACTTAATGGCTTTGAGTAAGAATTATATGAAAGGAGAGGCTGTGTTTTATTACAGCATCAGAAACAGAGTGGTAGAGAGTATAAAAAAAAGTTGGGATTTATTTTGTTTTGCTTTGGTGTTTGGTGCATTTTTGGGGTTTTTTTTAAAACAAAATGTCTTGCTCTTTCACTTAAAATATGACACAGACCAACCAAACCACACTTCAC